GGAGGAAGCTGATGTCCCTGGTCACCAAGCCAGAGCTGGTCTGGGTCTGCCTGGCTCTAGAAGGACGCTGCAGGAGTCCCGTGCTACCATAGTAGCAAACCCGTGGGGTTCTTTCGTACGTGACCTGGGACACCCACAGCAAGCTCCTTTCTGAACAAGGACCGAGGTGGGGGGCAGCGTGTGAGGCAAAAAATCGTGTCTAGGAGGGGCTCAGGGGCCCTGAGCTCCACCTCTCATTCCCACACGACCTCTGGAAGCTCACTACCTCCTGACAAGGCCCTGTCGCAAACGCCCCACGGGACACGAGACAGTCCAAGCAAAATGACTGCTCACTTGGGGGGTTGACTCGCTCCATGGCCAATCCTGACGGGACAGGACAGAAACGCTGCCGTGGGCTCAAGGCCTGCCACCTAAGGAGGACTCTGTGGGGCCATGTCACCACACGGGGACATGCCTGTGGGCTCAGAGGTCCCGACTGACTCCCTCTTACCTTGGAAATCCCTCAGCCTCATGGCGCGGGCCTCGACCATCCTCCTCTCCTCTTCGGCCTCGCTGAAGGGCCCCTCCTCCTCGTCCGGACAGCTGCAGGGAGAGGGGACGGATGGGCGAGAGTGCCTCGCTGGCTGCCTGGCCTCTGAAATGGGCACTGAGGCTCGTCTGCAGAACTGGCCGCTAAGAGCGTCTCGGAGTTTGTGAGTGATTTATCTTGTTAATGGTGTGAAAGAAAAAGAGGGGGAAGAAAACACAGCCACGGGCATTATCCAGTCTCAAAGTGTCCGGACGTAACCGGCCACAGGTTTTAAATGCCTGGCCACGACTTGGAGGAGGTGATTGGGGACAGCTCGTTTCCTGGGGACCTGCCAGGTATGGGAGGCTGCAAGCCCATCAGAGCTGAAGTTGAGTATCGAGGGAGCTCTGAGCAGGCTAAGGCTTCGGGAAGCTTCCAGGCACAAAGAGAGGGAGAGCTGGCTGGCTGGTCGTGGGGACCGGGCCACTTCCCCTGTATGTTGGGTGGACTGGGAGCCAGGCATCACACAGAGCCACAAGGCTGGGGTCCTGAGGGGTCCCCAGGCCTGAGGAGGAAGGATAGGATGTCACGACCTGCTCCGACAGGTCTGGTCCCAGACTGGGGGTGGAGGACAGCCCACCACATCAGGTGGACATCCCAGCAATACAGAGGGTTAGAGCTGCCTGGCCCCACATCCTCCCCAGAGACATCTGGGCCTTTCTAGCTGCTGCTGGAAGGAACCGGAATGGTGCATCTGTCCCCTTTAGACGAGGAGGTGGAATGAGGAAGAGGAAAGCAGGGCTCTCCTGTCTGCGCATGACCTCTGACACTCTCTCAGGCACTTCAAGGTCACAGCTGATTTGCCAACCATTAAAGGCAAGGGCAGAGCAGTCAGCGGAGGGAACACACTCACCTCTCCACAGCCCTTCGGATGTGGGCCATCCAGGCGTTCCTCTCCTCTTTGGAGCTGGTGTACATCTCGTACATCTCCGGCCCTTGCAGCGAGGCACTGATCAGAAACATGGCTTTCTCCTCATTGGCCACCTCCCTCACAATGAGCTTTTGTAACGAGATGACAGGGAGCTTCGAGTCCTGCAAGGCAGGAAGGCAGTGGGGAGGTCACCTTTTACCCTACCGATCCAAACGGCCGTGGAATCGCCAGTCTGAGGGGCGGGGGGCTAGGAGGGAAGCTGTGCATCCCACTTATTTCGAACAATTTAGAGCAGAGATATCTTGCCATCTGGGGAAAAAAGACACTATTGCAATGACATCCTTGTACCCTTTTAATGTGTCTGCTTAACATGCTTAAAAAAATGTGTTTTATAATCAGTAACTTATACACTGTACGGAAACTCTAAGGATACAAGAGTAGGTAGTATACAAAGACAAACAAACCTTCCTCCTGACCCTGTGCCCCAAGCACCCAGAGCCAACCAGTATTCCCAGTCTGTTGTGTATCCCACAGGAGCTCATGCTCCAATAGACCAGTAAAATGCACATTTTTAACTGGTTGTTATGGGCTGAACTGTGTCCCCCCCAATCCGTATGTTGAAGCTCTAATTGCTCGCACCTCAGAATGTGAGTGTATTTGGAGATGGGCCTTTAAAGAGGTAATTAAGGTAAAATGAAGTCACTAGGGTGGGTCCTAATCCAGTACGACTGGTGTCCTTTTACGAGGAGATTAGGACACAGACAGACACACAGGGGAGACCATGTGAGGACACGGGGAGATGACGGCCATCCCTACAAAGGAGAGAGGCCTCAGGAGAAACTGATTCTGCCAATGGCCCGGCGTGGCCCTCATGACAAGGCTGTTCTGGGACCAGCGTGTTGTGGGGTCAGCATGGTCACAGCTCACAGGACAGTGGCTGCCTCAGCTCTGGTCCTAATGTTGAGCTAGTAAGGAAGGAGGGAGGGAGGGGTTCTCCTGGCAAGGATGCTGGGGCCCCAGAGAACCTGAGTGCTGTGAGAGGAAGAGCCATGGAAACGCAGACAGAGACAGAAACTCGAGAGGATGTTAGCACGATCTCCTGAGACCTCGTTAGGCAACCAGACAGGACCCCCGGTCTTGGAAAATTCTACCCCTGCCTTGCTGGAACCTTCTAGCCCCTGGTGGGGCCCGGGACAACGGGGTAACTTAGGGATGTGCTTTTCTAGCCACCTTGCTCTGTGCTCTTCTCCTGTCCTGTTGTCCAGGTAGCCCCCCGGCCTCCCCCTCCACTCAGCTGCCTTCTGCACAGGCAGCTGTGGAGCAATGCTTTGTGTGAAGAGAGGATACACACCACAGACGCAAAGACGTATTTCTGATCCTTCTCTTGTAGCAGCAGAAGCACATCAGTCAATAGGACGGCAAGGACATCTAAGGAGAGAGCACAGGAGGAAATGTCATACAGGGTGACACGGCTACGTGGTCCTGCCGGGTAGCCACGGAATCCCAGGGAAGCTTCAGCACCACGGGAAGGAGCCCCGGCCACTCTCAGCCCGGTGCCATGATGCTTCCTTCTACCTCACCCTTCCCATGGCCGGAGTCTCCCCTTAAAGGTCCCGTCAGCGCCTCCCGCTCCGCTGCCAGGCCACTGTGCCCCAACCTGCCCCTGCTGTAATGGTGCCTGCTGGGTCCGGTCTTTGAGATTCTCTCACTGTGATTCTCAAATGTGAGCTCACGCCTCCGTTCTTCCCGCTCCCAGGTCACCTGGGACCTGAGCCGCTGGACGCTCACACCCTGCCTCCTACCTCAGCGACACACTCTCGTTGCCTTGTGCCCCTGAGCTTCCTGGTGGCAGCAGGCCCAGCGCCTTGGCCCTGGAGGAACGTCTCAAGGTGGCCCACACGGCAGAGCTTTTGCACACAGGCGCAGATCCTGCACTGCATTCCCAACAGGGGCACTCATGTCGCAAGAAGCATCAATGTTGCCTTCTCGGGAGCTCCTTCCGACACCCCTGTCTCAACCGGACACACCCCTTCCTGTAACTCCCCCCACGCCAGCCCGCTGCCTTCCTCTAAAGCGTTTACTGCACTTCTCACTATTTCTCTGTGTGCTTGTTTCTCTCCCTCTGCCTGCTGACTGCAGCCCCACGAGGGCCGGGGCCTCCTACCACCACCTCAGGGCCTGGCGCACAGGAGGCGCTAAACTGTATCTGCCGGGTGCTCGCCCACTCTAATTACGAACAAACGCACTCTGTCATTTGGCCACCTCAAGCAGTCCCCTAAGGATCTTTAAAGACACTGATGCCACTGGACAGGTTAGGATGTTTCCAGAGCTCACGAGATGGAAGCTTGAGGATGAGTTCTGAGTGCCCTGTGGTCTGGAACCGCACCGCGGATTTGGGACGCAGGGCTCCAAGCACACCCGAGCAGTGAGTGGGATGCTCGGGGACACAGAGGTCAGCAGTCCAGGTGGCGTTTTCTACCCACACTGGGGCCCTTCAGCGGTTGGGACCACTGCAGGAGGGCCTGTTACTGCCTGTTTGGAACTCTGGGGTTTCGGCCAAATCTGGGGTGTCATGATGCCTTGGGTTTCTGTTCAGAAGTCAATGACTCAGTGTGCCCTCTTCATCTAGTGGCCCTCCTGGTGTGTACCACCCCATCTCAAACACCGGAGAAAGAGGGTGCTGGTGCCACTACCTCATTCTTGCTACACTCTTGGCTGCCTGTGCTCATCCATCCTGACTCAGCATGTCACCTCCCTTCAGCCATGAAGCAGCCAGGCTGCAGTAGCTCTGTGTCAGCTGGCACCCACCAATCCAAGATGGTGCCCACTGATCCAAGAGGGTACCCACTACTCCAAGATGGTACCACCAACCCAAGATGGCAGTGACCAACCCAAGATGGTGCCACTAATCCAAGAGAGTGCCACTAATCCGAGATGGCATCCCACTCCAAGGTGGCCTCACCAATCCAAGATGGTGCCCATCACTCCAAGATGGTGCCACCAACCCAAGGTGGCACCGACCAACCCAAGATGGTGCCATTAATCCAAGAGGGCATCCCACTCCAAGGTGGCACCGACCAACCCAAGATGGTGCCACTAATCCAAGAGGGCATCCCACTCCAAGGCAGCACCACCAACCCAAGATACTGCCATCGCTCTAAGCCGGTGCCACTAATCCAAGATGGCATCCCACTCCAAGGTGATACCACGAATCCAAGATGGTGCCACCAATCCAAGATGGTGCCACCAACCCAAGATGGCGCATACCACTCTAAGATGGTGCCATAAACCCAAGATGACACCCACCATCCCAAAATGTCCTACCTATTCAAGATGGCACCCACCAGAGGTGGCCAGGGGCAGAGCTTTACCTTTCAAGCGCCCCGACGTGGTCTTCCAGCACAGCGTGCCCTCCAGATGGAGCTGCCGCCGCAGCATGTCCTCCTTGCGGAAGGTCAGCCCGTTCTTGAGCTTGCTGGAGGACTTCACGTCCATCTTCCCTGCGATCTCCTTGAGGCGCTGGCCTTTCTCGCACTCGCTGACCTTGGCGTCCACTTGTGAGATGATGTCTTTGATGAGGTTCAGGGCCTGAGTCAGGTCTTCATAGTCCTCGCTGCCAGCTGCCACACAGAGCAGAGTTAGCACTTTCCTTTGTCTGCGTTCACGAACACGACAGAAGGGGACATGCTACTGGGTCTGTGAGGTGCATTCCCTGAGGCCACTGCTCAGAGGACCCTCAAGGATCACCTTCCTAAGATGTAAATGCTTCTCCAAAATAAATGCGTCAGACCAGCGTTCGGTTTTACTAAGATAGAGCTTCTGTTGAAGGCAGACGCTAAGGTGCAATTCAAGTGACAAAATCTGCCTGCATAGCTCCCCCGGCCACTCCTTAGCAAACAGACTCCCCCGTGCTCCCTAGCTCTTCATAAAAGACTCCCTCCACCTCCTGCCACTACCAAGAGCTGGCTCCTCTGGCTCTAAGGACGTGGCTCTCATGGTGGGAGAACTCTCCTCATTCTCCCATGGCCTAAATGCCCTGGAGATGTGGGAGGTGTGGTCAGCATAGCCCTGGCCTCTGAGAACTCCTGGCCGGGCTGCGTGCCTTTTCTCCTCTGCCCTCCATGGTTCCAGGCATGCCCCTCTCATGGCCCTGGTCATGTGACATGGAGGTCATCTCTGTGCCTGTCTGGATCACCCAGGAATGACCTTAACAAGGGCACCACGTTCATCCATTCATCCACTCCCCAGATACAGACCAAAGGTGCGCTATGACCCAGCCTCTGGCAAGGGCTGGGGGTAAACGCAGGGAAATGAGACCCAGCACTCCATCTTTCTCGAGTTGGAAACCCCAGCACCCAGCACAGTGGATTCCACATGACGGAAGTTCAGTTAATGATCACCAATCCCAGCTGAATGCGTAGAACCAGGGACAGATCAGAGAGGGGCGTTTATCTAATCCCCTGCTAAAACGGGGGGCAGGGAGACAGAGCCCACCCCCAAAGCACCAACGGGCAAGGCGGTGAGGAGAGTTAGCGTACCTTCTGTGTTCTGAATGATGCGCTCCACCAGCACAGGGTACTTGGTGATGCGCTGAGTCACCAGAAGAATACACTCCTGCACGCCAAGCCGCCTCACGATGGCAAAGTTCCCAATTTTCTATGAAATGGAAAACAGAACCATACCGTATTGACACCTTATCTCCTGTGGAATCAGCTAATGGTTGGATACCGAGGCTGGGGGCTCTTTCCTTTTTCGGTTCACATGGACTTTTCCTTTGTCCCTCCACTGGATACTTGACAGCAAGGATCACCTGCTGTAGACGGAAAGGCCACAAAAGCAAGGGCAGCCTCACCAATTGTAAACGAAGGCCTCTGTAAAACCCATTAAGAAGAAACCAGAACCAGCCAGTGGCGGTGGTTATGAGAACCACCTGGAGAGCTGTACAGCGTGCGTGCACACACACACACAGCCCAAACCCTGACTGATGACCACTAGAACCTTCTAGAACTAGAGTGGGCCTGTGCCTTCTGAACTGGTTCCCTGGTGGCTTCTGATGCACACCTCTGGCTAAGCACCCAAAAAGCAGTCACCTGAAGCCATTTCTTGGTGGGAGCTGAGAGCAGCTTCCGGTGCTCTTTAGAGCATACCACACATTCTGCTTTTCTGCTCCCACCACTCTTGGACGAGTTTCAGGAATGCCAGTGATCACGGCAAGCACTTCTTGAGAGGACCAGAAGAGTCACTGTGGGATGTGTGAGATTCCGGGGACAACACTCTGTCTCTGTTTCCTCCAATCTCATTGAAACCCTCCCACTTTCTAGGTGTTTCTGTCTCATGATGTCAAGTGGCCTGTCCCATTGCTTATCAGTAGATGAATTTAGGCCCCCAAATTACCCTCTCCCTTTCACGTCTATCCTCTGCAATTATAATGGAGTGAAATTAAAAAACACATCATTCTTGACTCTAGACCATTTGGCGTCAGATGTCACTTCAGAATAAAGTCGTCGGGGTGCGGGCGACAGGTGATGGAGCAGTTTTGGAATCAAGTGTGCTGGGGCTACCTCAGAGCGTATGCAGATGGAGCCAAGCACTCTTAACCCAGGTGCACTTTCTAAAACTTGGGAGGTGGGGCCTTGCCGGAGCCAGCTGACTCAGGCTGAGTGAAGTGTTTTTGGCTCTGGGCTCTGAGTGTCTGCACACTGTAAGGCAGGGGACAGGTGTGGACCATTCCACAGGCCACTGGGGACAAATGGGGACCAGAGAGGGGAGGAGGCGAGGCAGGGGACGATGGTTTAGAGTGAGGCCTTGCACCAGCTGGAGCGTCTGAGGGAAGCATTGGTGACTCCGGCGGGGTGGTTCCCAGGGCAGGGGGCCCCTTGAGACGACACTCGTGTCACCTCAACAGACTGACGAGTGATGGTCAGTGGGTTCCATGCTGGGGCCTGAGGGACACCTCAGGGGCCCACCCTGGTGTGGCAAGAACAAAGCCATAGGTCTTAATTGCTTTGTTTTGTTTTACCCCTTGGAATTCTCCAGAAGATTTCACTGACCTGTCCTGAATGAGTTTGTAATTAAAAACAAAGCAAAAACTTGAAAATCACCTGTTTATAACAGGTGCCTTCATCTCAAGATCTCCAAACGGTTCTGTGAGGAAAAACCTACAGCACAGAGAATACGTTTTTAATTAAAAAATAAATTTGTTTTTACCTTGATCAAGTTTTGAAATTTCTTGTTTTGCTGCAGCAGCAACTTGTAATGACTGACCGCTTCGTTGTGGCCGCTACAAAAGACACCATATTTTTCTTTCATTCTCTCCCCATTTTCACCTGAAAACTGAAGAGAACGGAGATGATATTGAATGAGACACAAAAATCGCCAAGGAATGTTCTCATCTGGTTCATTGGGCTTTGCTAGAATATGGCCTGAATTTACTTGAGTTTTTCTCTCTTCTCTAACACATACGCAGACAGAGAAATGCTTTAGCACTGGTGTCTCAAGGTACAATAAATGTAAAAGGAGAAAATTTTCTGCTAACGGGCTTTACTATGTCACAGGCGCTGGGACAACTTCCTGAAGTCTGAGAAGGAGAAATAAATTTAAGCTGAAGAATGTCAGAAAAGTTAAAATGCAAAAGGGGTATTCTAATTAATTCTAATTAGCCAACGCAGGATGCTTGGAGCACTCTGAGGTCAGCTGAAGGGTTACGGGTCCCCTCTGTCAATCCTGGCTCAGAAGCTGACTCAGTGACTTCCAGCAGCCAAAAACACAGCGGTCAAAACCAAAAAAATAAAACCCAGCGAAGCAACCAAATGGAAGCCCAGAACACAACACTGGACGGTGTTTGGACACGCACATTTGGGATCGAGGCCTCGGTGTTTCTGGACTGTTAGCTGCACACACGGCTGTAAGGGCCCAGGACCACTGTCCTCTGGGGCAGCAAGCCCTCGATAAACAGGGGCTACGTTCTTTTTATTATTGGGAGGAACAGAGATGGGATGGGGGCTCGTCCAGGCCTGGTGCCCGTCTCGGCTCTGCCCACCTGCTGCACCAGGAGGTCCCCAATTTTCTGGATGATGTAATTCTGCTCGCTGCCCTCCTCCAGGGCCTCCCTGCGGCGCTCCTTGAGCCGACACAGGAAGTGGCCGTGCATCTCGAGCAGGTCATCGGCGCACGGGAAGAGGCGGCTGATGGCCTTGCTGCTGAACTGCAGCTCCTCCTGCAGGAACCTGGAGTAGACCCTGAGCATGATCTTGAGCGTCCGCACGTGGTGCACCTCCGTCTGCATCAGCTCTGTGGGCACACGGACCACAGGACTTACCCACCCGGAGAGGGCGCCATGGCTCGTTATGCCCACATCCCACAGTGACACTCGTGTGTACTACCTGCCCACCATCGGGCCCCCTGCCCTCCCCAGCCCAGTGCTGCAAGGGTCCCAGCTTAAGGGAGCAGCGAGGAGTGGAGTGACATTAGAAAAGAAGAGGACCCAGGATGTGCACTGGGACCTCAAATTCACAGGAGGGTTTCGTGCTAAAGTCAACTGAAGATGTTTCAAGGCTGTTTTAAGCAAGAAGACTGTTCTGATGAATGCCACTCCTTGGGATGTGAAACTCACATATTTGCGCATGTCAGTGACCAGACCCAGACTATAACTGATAAAAAGGCAGAGTTCAAGGGAGGATTTTAATCCACTGTTAAAGGCAAAGAAAGATCAGATTTTTGTGCTGGACTTTATCTGTTGCTCAAGTCAAGGCCTTGAAGCTGTTAGAGGGGGTGGACAATGTGGCAAAGGGCTCCCCAGATGGAAGCATCCGGAATGGCCCTCTCCGTCCCTCTCTGCAGGATCTCTGCCCGGCTCTGGGGCCCTGAGGGGAAGCGTTCATCGGGTTCTTCTCCCTGCCCACACCCCAACCTACTCTGGCCCGGGCAGGGAGCTCAGTGTGTGAAATATGGAAGGACGTGGGTGCCACCAGGCAGTGGAGTGAAGACACTTCTACGCCACAATCTCCTCACAGAATGCTGACGAGGGACGGGAAAACATCTCGGGCAACACAACGCTGGCAACACAACGCTGTCAGTCTTGGGGACACTTCCCATGGAGGGGGATCATAAGAACAAGTGAGGGCTTTGGGAAGAGAAAGGCCACAGGTTCCAGGGCGGTTGTCTTGGGCCATCGTTGCTCTGCTTGTGGGGGCCCAGGGGCCTGGAGGGACCTACGTGGGGCACCCAGCATGGCACCTGTCCCAGGGCCGGCTCTGTGTCTGGGAGCTATGGTTTTCACAGTGACCTGCAACATCCCGTCTCAGGACAGTGGGTCCCCTAACTAGGTTCTCCAATGGCCAGTGGGAAGGGCGCCCACCAGGGAGCTGGTGCTACAGTCATGTGTGAGAGAGGGACATACCTCCAACCTGCCCCCCCCCCCGCCCCCCGCCCATTCACAGCCACGCCTGGGCCTGTCTGGTGGTCACCAGGGACGGCTGGGAGGAGCTGGGGCGGTCTTCCCTCTCAGGGTCACCAACATGGTAAGGATGAGTTAGGCCTGGGCATTCGGCCATAACTGTCCCTGGGGACGGGTTCTCACAATGCCCTCCCCAGCCACCTCTTCCCTGGCCTGGAAGGCAGGGCTGCCCTGGGGAAGCAGGCGGAGCAGGCGACAGGATCTGAGCGGGGGTTGGCAGTGGAGCCCAGACTCCCAGATGGAATTAATCAGAAGGAAAAGAAGCGAATGGAGGGCTGGTGGGTGGCGCAGGACTTCTTACCGTAAAGCACATCCTGCCTTTTCACCACCTCCTTCTTTTGTTTCTTTGCGTATGCCGGGTCCACGGCGAGGCTCCAGGACTCCGCCTCAAACTCATGGGCGTCTGACTCAATCTCATTCCTCAGTGAGGCAGTGTAGGGGTCTGAGGGAAGACCAAGAGGCCGCTGCCTGGGGGCCCGCAGCCTGGCTGGCTCTGGACCACCCCAGCCTGCGTCCCGTGGACACATTGATGGGGGTCCCAGCACTTCCCAGGGAGGAGGGAGACCACATGACATCTGTGCAAGAATCAGGATGACTGTACCTTCTACAAAAACGGACTCGGCATTGGAAGATGCAAGTGAGAGAGAGTCATCAGCTGCCTGCTTGAATTTCAAATATCCAGAGTCAGCTTCATCCATCTCTCCTGTGACTGGTCTAAATAAAAACCATTATTTCAAAAATTGAATTAAACACACACACACACACACACACACACCATTCTACGAAGGCAAATCAGATTGTTACTCAATCTGATTAGATACTATTTGAGAACTTTCCAGATTTCAATATAAGCCTTAACTTTGTCACAGATCATTTTTAAAAATTAGGAGACTATCTATCAACGTAACATCAGGACTTCTTCTGTCATAACTCATTTTAATTTAATGTTCAGGTACATTCTAAGGGTGGTTAATCGTATGCTTCCTTTACTGGCCACTGGAGCCCACTGGAGGCCCTGGAATTCTTTTAAGCAAGAGTTAGGTGGACACAGCCTCACTCACAGTTGAGGGTGGAGGGAGACTCCTTAGAGGAAAAAGTTAATCAGCTCCTTTCCCCACAAATTCATGTAACAATCATCACAATGACATTTTTTTTAGCGTAAGATTTTCTCCCTGAATACCGCTGAATGCAATATTTAGAGAACCACTTCAAAGTTCTTGGAAAACGGGGTTAAGGCATAAATAACGAAATGCAACCTCCATGGCAACCTCAGCAGGCTTCTAGCATCGTCTTGAGTACAGAAAGGAGCGCTGTCTGAGGTCCTTTAAGAGCATGAAGCTAGCTGGCTCCAAATGGCCGAGGACACCCAGAACACGCCTTTGAAAAAGAACAAGGAATGAATCTCCAAAGCAAGAGTTAATGGGAGGGGCCGGCCCCGTGGCTTAGCGGTTAAGTGTTAGCGCTCCGCTATTGGCAGCCCGGGTTCGGATCCTGGGCGCGCACCGACGCACCGCTTCTCCGGCCATGCTGAGGCCGCATCCCACATACAGCAACTAGAAGAAGGATGTGCAACTATGACATACAACTACCTACTGGGGCTTTGGGGAAAAAAAAAAAGAGTTAATGGGAATTTCACTGCTTGGTGGGGGGCCGACGAGCAGATCCTCGTGGCCCTGGGTGTCTCCTTTCAGAGAGGCTGTCTGCAGGGTCCTCATAGCACACCACACACCCGGCTCCCTCCCTTCATCTGCACCTGAGGGCAGAGCGAGGACCCTGGCTTACCCAAGTCGTGTCCCCGTTCCCGCCAGGCTGGGTGCTGGCTGTGGACTCCCCTTCTGCGAGACCGTCATGCCGACATTCCTGGACAGGGCCGGGCTGCCATCAGACAAGAGGGTGGCCCTCGGGTGCTCTTTCAGGGACGCTGCGACAGAGGCAAAGACAGAGTTGGTGCTGAGAAAGTGGGCAGGGTAGTGCAGGTGGCCGGGTCGGAAGCCCCGCTCCGACTGTGGCCGCAGCACGGACAGGATCTTGGAGGTCAGCAGCTCGTTATCCAGAAAGACATGGTCGCTCCATTTCCTAGGGAAGGAGCTACCGTAGAAAGACAGCTCAGGGCGGCCGTGGAGCGCGCTGTCTCTGTCGCTGCCTTTGGAATTTGCATGCCCCATGTTCACGGTCGCGGCTCCCAGACCCGGCGCGCTGCGAGGCCGGGCTGCACCGTTTTTATACCTCCGAATGATCCTTCTAGAAATGTAAAGCTGCGTCTTCTCTTACTGTATTGGCTGGAGCAGCGAGTCTGGAGGGCAGGAAATTGGTCCCCACTGTGACCACTTAGTGTGGAAATTGCACACTGTTTTCTTCTTTGATAAAATAACAACAAAAAAAATCCCGACACTCCTGTCTTCGCAGGGGGTACAAAGCAGAGAGCCGTTTACATTTGCTGTAAAGAATCTAAGATCATGAAACAGGGAGCTCTGCGCTTGGCGTGGCTTCTGCCGACATCACCCATGATTGTAATTAATCTGGGATGGATGTCGGGATGATTCTAAGACCCGGAGACCACAGGGCACGCATGATGTTCAGCCGCAGGTGCCACTCTCTGTAAGCGCTCTGATAGAATTCGATCACCCAAGTGGATGAGAGGCTCTGATCCTATTTTATAGGCAATTGTAAACCAACCTAAAACACAACAAGAGCTCCGAAGGGTTGTTCACACTCATCTGCTTGTTAATTTAAGAGCTGAGATATTAAGATGTATTGTTCTCACCCATTACTTTCCCCATTGACAGGAAGATGCAACGCTTAGAAAGCCAGGCTATCGTTAATTAGGTTGATCTTCTCCCTCCTACTAGACAAGCCAATCATTCAAGCCAAGCCTAGTTGAGACTGGCTGCTTGGCTAATTGATGCTCAGCGTGAAAGCCACATCTGAAAGCTTTGCTCCAAGACAAAGAGCAGCATTAAAAAGAAATCTGGCAGCAGCCCTGGTGGCCTAGTGGTTAAGTTCAGTGTGCTCTGCTTTGGTGGCCTGGGTTCGGTTCCTGGGCGTGGACCTACACCACTTGTCTGTTAGTGGCCATGCTGTGGTGGTGGCTGACATACAAAAAAAGAAGATTGGCACCGATGTTAACTCAGGGCGAATCTTCCTCAGCAAAAAAAAAAAAAAAAGGAGAGAGATCTGTCTGGTGACCTTCCAACCTGGCTCCTGGGTCCCCAGTGCACCCATCCACTGGTTTCTCTACGTTATATGAAGAAAGTAGTTGGGATGCCGGTTCTCAGTAGCATGGAGGCAGTGACTCTTAGGGTGGGCATAGGGCCAGCCCTACAGTAAAATATACTTCTCTCAGGGCTTTTCTGGACAGGGGGATTCAGCAGACTGAGTGAGTTTTAATTTAGGTGGAAATTCAGGGTGGCTGCAAACATGCAGGTGGGTACATGTGAGAGAGAAAACTTCTGGTAGAGGAGTAATGAAGAAAGCTTAGAAATTGAGACTTAACCGCTAAGCGGTGCAATGACATATTACACATAAAACACACGTTATCCACAGCCATTCATTCTTTACCACAGCTTAGCATGGTGAGGATGCCACTTGGTCAGTGACCTCAACCATCCCGATGTCACGATCATAAATGGCTAACGATTACTATTATTACAGTAGACAAAGGTGACAAGGATGATACTCCTGCACAAACCATTGACAAAGGTGAAAATCAGAAATCAAGGCCTCCACGGTCCAGGGCATGGGTCCCTGCCATTCCTTCACCATGTTAAACCCCACCAGGCAATTATGACTGAACGTGCAAATATGGGATAAATCCTGAAATGCATCCTTTGCCCAGCATCCTGGCATGGCTGACAGACTGTTCCTGTGAGCCGAGGTCTTGCCTAAAGTCGGATGGATTCTGCTTTAACCAAACAGTCCACAGAAGAAAAAGTCACCATAAACACCTTCTAAGAATCACTGGCTTCAAAGAATTCTAATAAATCATCAGTAATGCTAAATCTATGATAAACGGACTTACATCTTCCTTTGATAATTAAGAAGATACTTTGAGGTTTTCATGTCTAAGGGTCATGATTAGGGATACCAGGTACCAATGGACTCAAAAAGGGTACAAGGGAGAGAATTTCAGCTGAAAGAAAGATGAGCTGGCCCCTCTAACATACAACATAATTTACTTATTTATTCTGATCATCGTCTGTTTCCCCAATAGAATAATGGACAGTGTCTTGCACAAAACAGGTGTCAGGAAATGATGGTTTCATGGAATTTTATTCAGCCATAAAAAGGAAAGAAATTCTAACACCTGCTACAACATGGATGAACCTTGAGGACATCATGCTGAGTAAAATAAGCCAGACACAAATGGATAAATACTGTGTGATTCCACTTCTAGGAGGTCCCTAGAGGAGTCAGATTCATAGAGCCAGAAAGCAGAATGGGAGTTCCCTGGAGTTTTGTTTAATGGGGAAAGAGTTTCAGTTTTGGAAGATGAAAGAGTTCTGGAAATGGATGGTTGCACAACAATGTGAGTGTACTTAATGCCACTGGACTGTACTCTTAAAAATGGTTAAAATGGCCCAATTTCATGTTATGGATATTTTACCACAATGTTTTAAAAAAGAAATCATTGTTTCTTTGGGGTGATGGAACAGTTCTGCATCTTGACTGCGGTGTTGGATACTCAAATCCATACACAGGATAAAATTTCATAGAACCATACACTCCCCTTCCCGCCACAAGAGTGCACGTAACAACTAGCAAAATCCTAATAGGGCCTGTCCCCGAGTTAATAATATCGTATCATTGGGGCCAGCCCGGTGGTGCAAGCGGTTAAGTGCGCACGCTCCGCTGAGGAGACCCGGGGTTCGCCGGTTCAGATCCTGGGCGCGTACTGACGCACTGCTTGGCAAGCCATGCTGTGGCGGCATCCCATATAAAGTGGAGGAAGATGGGCACGGATGTTAGCCCAGGGCCAGTCTTCCTCAGCAAAAAAAGAGGATTGGCAGCTGTTAGCACAGGGCTGATCTCCTCACAAAAATAAAAAATAATAATATCATATCATTGTCAGTGTCCAGGTTTCGACCGTGGACTGTGGTTATGTTAGATATCACGAGTGGGGGATGCTCGGTGAAGGGTACCCAGGAACTCCATACTATTTTTGCAAGCTCTTGTGGGTCTTTATTTCAAAATAAAAAGTTACACCAATTTGCAAAGGTGCATGCACCCCTGTGTTCATTGCAGCGTTATTCACAATAGCCAAGACTTGGAAGCAACCTAAGTGCCCATCAAGGGACGAATGGATAAAGAAGATGTGGTATATATACACAATGGAATACTACTCAGCCATAAGAAACGATGAAATCCAGCCATTTGTGACATCATGGATGGACATTGAGGGTATAATGCAAAGTGAAATAAGTCAGAGGGAGAAGGTCAAATACCGTATGATTTCCTTCATTAAGTAGTAGATAATAACAACAATAAACAAACACATAGGGACAGAGATTGGATTGGTGGTTAACAGAGGGGAAGGGGGGAGGGAGGAGGGTGAAAGGGATAATTCGGTACATGTGTGTGGTGATGGGTTGTAATTAGTATTTTGGTGGTGAACATGATGTAATCTATGCAGAAATAGAAGTACAATGATGTACACCTGAAATTTTTACAAAGTTATAAACCAATGTTACTGCAATAAACAAAACAAACAAACAAACAAAAAAAAGTTACAGCCGATTCTCATTATTCCTGGTGTGATGTCCTATAAAGTCACAGTGAACACTGAATTAGTGAATACTGAGTCACTGTTGCCAGGGGAAATACAGGGCTAGGTTCCTGTAAGCTTCTGGCTACCTTTTTGTCAGCCAGTCAATCCATAACCCTGTGTGATGTGTGTTTCTACTGAATGACACCTTATGTAATATACATTGTCAATCCAGTAACACGGAATTCACAGCCAACAGGGCTGTAACTCACGCCTGAAGGAAGCGTACCTATCACACGTATTTTCTCTGTAAGGCACATAATAGCCTTCTTGTGCTTATGAACACTAGACAGCCCTTCAGCACTATGCTCGGGGGCCATTTTAAACAGCCAAATCACCAACAAAGAGTACAAAAATGTGAAAAAAGGGCATTAAATACCCCGCAGAAAAGGGCACTTGTTTACAGAATGAGCTGAAACAAGAAGACAGTGTCACCTTATTCAATCTTAGCTGGGAAGGTGTACACTGAACAACTCCAATTTTCTGCCATTCTACACATATCTGTGACTTGCCACGAAAGCCCCACGAGTATCGATTTGGGGGTTACAAATATATTTAGGGAGTAGGTGCATTTGCAAATACAGAATCCATAAATAATGGGGATCGACTGTATATAAAAAAGCTGTTGAAGAAGAAGTCATTATATTTTAGAAGAACACCCTGTTTGCTCAAATACATGCCGTAATTCCTCAGAGCACTGATATTCTTTGTATTTCTTTACAACTTATTATACATACACTTCCAAAAAGTATCTGAGATGGCCTCCTATTTTGGGAGGGGGACTTTCTACAGAAAAGTTGAATGATGTGCATTTGGCGTCAATGTGACTGAGAGAAATTATTCTTTTTCCTCTGGAACAATCTAACCACCACTCCCCATCAGGCTACTTATGATTTTTAAAATAATAAGAGGTGGACAGTCACCAGTCAAGTCTTTCTGTAACATGTGCAGCCATGGAAACAACTGATCAATCAAGACCTGAGTCAGTGGCTCTGCCACAGGGCAGCTGTATTAATCATGTCCTTCTACTCTGTATTTTTGATGCTCTGACAGCTGAGGCCTGGCTGACCCTGGAAAGCCTGCCACTCCCAGGGCTAGCAGATTCCTAGAGGTACTAAAGGACTCACCTACAAGTGTGCCTTTAACATGCAAACCAGCCA